AGATAGAAAAGCCAATCCTTTGCAGTATCCTTCAGAGAGAATGGGAAGGCCCTCAGTTTGATTTGCTCCTCGGACACACCATTGGGGCACATGCTTGTGCACACAATATGGAATTCCGACAAGTGTTTGTTCGGATCCTCCCCTCGTAAACCATGGAATGATGGAAGGAGATGAATGAGCCCAGATTTTAGCTCAAATGTGACCCCCGTATCAAGAGTTGGAAAAGTGATACATAGGGGTTGTTGATTAAGATTCGGAGCTGTGAGCTCCCTCAATGTTCTCGTCTCAAGAGCCATAGTGATTGGCTCTTCGGTCTCGCTAGATTGAGAACTAGCACTTGATGATTCCTCCGAAGAAGTATTCGGAAATAAATTCCTAAACCTTTCGAAGGCTTGTTCTGTTTGGGGGTTTGTTTGGTAGATGATTTCGTTTATAGATCGGGTTCTTACCATATACTCAAACAAAGCTCAGAAGAAATAAAAATCTTTATACTTCAACTATTTTTTTTTTCTTTTTCTTGTAAATAAAATAAAAAGAAAAATTAATTGCCTTTCCCCGGCAACGGCGCCAAATTTGACGTGCACTTTGTCGTGAGTGCACTCAAAGTAAATTCAGTACAACACTTATACGTAGTATAGGTGAAGTAGAGTTCGTATCCACAGGGAAAGGAATAACTCTTCTTTTTATGTAACTAGTAGATAAAGGGGGGTTTTGATTGAGTGATTTAATTAAAATTGAACACGAAGATGAACGAGTTATGTGGTTTAATTTAAAGATAAAAGATACTTGGTATTGCTATTTTACACTTGTTGATATATTTTAGTCGATCATTGTTATATCTATAACTTATCTCCTCTCGAATACTCAATCGAGGAGTATATCCAATTCATCGAGGATAGTTATTAACAACGACCGTTCATTAATAACCCTTACTATTAGTCAAGTATAGAACAAGCGCCGTATACCGACTTGATAGTAGCATTTAATCGCTTAACTCCTTGATGAAATCAATTGAGATCGATAACCTCAACACAAGCGGTTTTGGTTTAACCAACACAATTAACTCCTCTTAAATCTATTAACCACAACCGTGCATTAATAGACCGAAGTTACTTACTTGTGAAACTATCAACGATTAACCATTGGTCCGTTGATCGTATCTAGTAGTAATTAATATATGAAACAAAACTAGTTGATCCTTTAAGTAATGTTCAAAATATTAATATGAAATATGAATAGGAATTAATTGATACTCAAGGAAGAATATTAAAGAAGATGAATCCTACTATAGTTAATATCAAGATGTTAACTAATTGTCATCTTAGTAACACTCCCCGATATTAACATAGAGGAAGAAATGACTATTACTATAACTAATGTCAAGATGTTAACTAATTGTCATCTTAGCAACACTCCCCAACATTGATATAGAAATAGCATTTGAAGAAAGAATTAATATTCAAGGAAAGAAGTTAAGAAAATAACTCACAACTTTAATAATCAACAAGCTTCAAGAGCAATACCAAGAAATGGAAGTTTAGCTCCTCATTTGGAGACTAAACATGCTAAAAGAAATATAAAGAAATGCTATTCTAAACTGAGCTTAAGAGTATAAAGGAATTGGTATCTAAAAGTGAAGGAAAGGAGGTGTATTTATAGGCTTTTTGAGGTGCAGGTCGAGTACTCGATCGAGTATATATACATACTCGATCGAGTATGTGTAGAACATCGAATTCGTTCCATACTCGATCAATACTCGGGTAGTTTTTATAGCTATACCCGATCGAGTACATAAGTATACCCGATCGGGTATAGACACTCGAACGTGGAAAATCTTCTCCTGCATGTTCCTTTGTTTTCGGATCCGATCCGATTTGAAATGTCAACCAGATACCCGATCGAGTATATGTGTATACTCGACCGAGTATAGACCAAAATCAGGATTTTTCCTTCTTTTTGTCTTGTACTCTTGCACCTTCCTTCACCATTGATCATTTGATTGATCTTGGACCTGTTTAAGCTCAGAATAAACCTAATCTAAACAAATTACAAGAATTTAACAAACTAAACTATTACACCGAAAGTGTGTAATTTCCTAGATATTAAACAATCAAAACTAACTAAAAACGTAAATAAACATACGGAAATTACAAACGTATCATTAGTCATATTTGTGATTGATTTATGATTTAGGATGTTTTCTTTTGGAATGTTTTCAGTCCCAGATCAGACCAGACCAGACTTCCGTAGTTATAAAATACACAGACACCAGACATTTATCAGACCAATCCAGACCAAACTAGATCAGACCAGATTAGACCAGACCAACAAATTTATGTCCAAAAAAAACATCCTTGATCTTATTTGTAAAATTAAGTTTTCATTTTAGGGTTTTTTACAAGAATATTAATATAGTAAAACTTATTTACATAAATATGACTATTCATTAGGGTTGTGAATTTTAGTGTTGTGGTCTATGAAGCACGGATACTTACTAGGGTACCATATCAACGTATCGGAAACGTTTCCGTATTCGATACTCTAGGATATCCGTACCGTACGTTCCCGGACTATATCTGTAATATTTTAAAAGTTTCCATTTTTTGGTAATTATTTTAAAATTTTGGATACTCGTATCCTGAAGGATACACGTATAAACTTTTTTAAAGAAAAATTCTTCCAAAAAACCTTTTAAAAAAACACCCAAAATTTACATAATAAAATTCTTAAGAATGAAATGATAAAATGATTTTTACCTTGCTTTTATGTGGTACACAACTAATGGGCCTATTTCTAATTCACTAATCCTCCTATCCCTGATTCTAATTATCCCTGGAAATTAATAGCCCCAACGGAAATATGTATTAGAACTATTAAAATATTTTTTCTATCTTTATTATTCTAGAACTGTAGTTGCACTTTGAGTATTTGCACTTTTAATTTCAAAATTGTAGTTGTTTGACTTATATCTCACTTTAAATTAGTCACTTATTGACTATATTTATATTTCGAGATGCTATAGTGTATATGAGATAAAATATGAATTTATTTTTAAGTATCTTGAAAATGTAAAATGTTTCAATGCCATGAATGGTTCAACGTCAGAGGATAATATATGTGTATTTTTTCAAAAACAAATTGTATTTTTAATATTTATAAGTACACCCCAATAACTTATACTCCGTAATATGTATAAATATACCCCTACAATTTTTAATATTTATAAATATACCCCTATAACTTTTAATATTTATGAATATACCCCTATAAATATGGCCCCGTATTCGTATCCTAAAAGTTATACAGGTTGTGCGTTTAATCAACATATTTTATGATTAAATATGTATATTTTATATTTATAAATATACCCCTATAAATATGGCCCCGTGTCCGTATCCTAGTTTTTTTTGTCGTATTCCCGTACCCGTTTCCGCTGTTTCGCGTTTCTGCGTACCTGTATCGGTGCTACATAGGTTGTGGTAACTTAAGTTCAAAACTTGAACATGAATTATTACTAAAGAAATTATTCTAAATGGGACTAAAACATGGTTAAAACTCCAAAATAGGACTTGAAGTTTTAAATTGTCTAAATGGGACTCCAGATTACATTTTTACCCTTAATCCCTAAATAACCTTTTCCCCCAATCCCGTGCATCGATCGTGAGACCTGCGATTGCAATGGAAGCAGTGCGATTACATCGATTGCGACTCAGCTTCCATGGACGCAACTCAACCACCATCATCGCAGCTGTAATATCTTCCCCAGCTGCCATGGACGCAGCTCAACCGCCATCATCGCAGTTGTAATTTCTTCCCCTGCTGCAATTTCTTCCCCAGGTATTCTTCCTCTTCTTTTTCTTCTTTTTCTCCTTCTCCTTCTCCTTCTCCTTCTCCTTCCTCCTCTTCTTCTTCTTCCCCTCTGTTTTGTTCTTCTTTTAAATTTCAGATTATTTTAGATATTTTAATTCAAAAATGTCATCTTTACTCGAAAATGACATGTTTTAATAACTGTAAATGTCATCTTTCTATTCCAAAATGCCAACATTATTTTAACATCACAGTACACAAGATTTCATTTTTCAAAAATTGACATGTTTATTTTTATATGACATTTAAGGATAGCTTGAAAATGACATGTTTCAAGGATAGCAAATGACATGTTTTAAGAATGCCACTTAATATGCATAATGTCACAATAATGACAATTTTGTATATAAACATGGCATTGAGATATGGCATTTCCAAATATTGTAATGACATAAAGGTGACATTTTGTAAAAATACCCAATAATTAAGACATTCTCTAATTCAAAAAGTGACATTTTCTGTAATCATTAGTTAGGGCATTTTGAGATTCAAAGTAATCAAAATTGATAACAAGAAATTCAAGTCAAGATATATCTTCATTTGAAACTTTCAAAAATCAAAACTTTATTTAAATCTCATTGATAAAAAATAATAAATAAAAAATAAAAAAGCTGAGAACTAGGGAGAAGAAGAAATTACCTAACTAATGATTTTGCTGCAGGGCAGGTCCTCCACTCACAATTGATGGTGGTTGGTGTCTTGCCGGAGGGCGGCAGACGGAGGTTGTGGTCTGATTGGACGGCGGCGATGATTCTATTGATGGACGGTGGCAGCACCGTTAGAAGCAGGCGACAGCAACAACGATGGAGTCTGTTGTGCATCGCTGGTGTGCATCGGCAATGCTATCGCGATGGAGGCTTTTTTTTATTAAGGGTAGATTTGTCAGATTATCTCTTTTTAGTCTTATTTTTGTAAAATAAAACATAACAGTCCTGTTTTTGCAATTCTACCTACTTTTAGTCCTATTTAGGTAAATCTCTCTTATTACTATGATTTCATTACTACACTAATAACTAGTCAAATTTTTTTAAATTCATAATTTGGTCATGTTTATTTAATCATTTCTTCATTTTATCCTATTTAGGGCAATTACTATAGATATCAACCATCTAGTCTCAAATACTGTCAAACAAAATCAAAGCAATAATGTACTCCACAACTATGTTCAATAATGGCGTATTCAAAATAAAACTGGCTTAACAGTTGTATCACAACCATATTCATTTCAATCACTATGAAATAAAACTTGCTTCGTTTTATTTTTGAACTTGTCAATGTTTTGCTTCTACATTAAGCAATTCTTATTCTTCTCAAACAATAATTACACATAAATAATGCATGCAAAGCACATATATATATATATATGCCACACAAAGATAAAAAATGCAAAAAAAAAAGCTAATATGTGGTCGTCAATGCTGATAAGAATTGTTCAATAACTTGATCAGAAGTCCCACCTTCACTCAGTGCCTCCTTAGCCAAACGACTCCACTTCACAGCATTTTCCTTCATTTCCTTACCCTTTACCTCGTCCAACACCTCCCTAACACAGCCCTCTACTTCTTCTCTACTGACCAACCCATCCTCCCCAACCCTAACCCTTCTCCCAACCTTCCACATGTCAACCACTAGCTTGGCGTTCATCGTCTGGTCCGTCCACTGCGGCATGACCACCATCGGCACCCCTATGCTCAAAGCTTCAATGGTCGAGTTCCACCCCCCGTGAGTGAAGAAACACCCCACGGCTTTATTCGCCAGCACTTTTAGCTGAGGGCACCAGTTCACGACCAGGCCCGACGCCGTGGCCTGGTCTGCCCCGCCTCGGCCCACGACCAGCTCACCGTCGATGAACCCTTTCGGCAGCTTTGACTCTTCGGAGCGCCTGACCACCCATAGGAAGGGAATGTTGCTGTTCTTTAAGCCCCATGCAAGCTCTTCCATCTGTTTTTCGTCTAGGTCGGCCATGCTTCCGAATGAAACGTAAATGACTGATCCTTCGGGTTTGGTGTTTAGCCAGTCAACGCAGCTCGTTGACGGGTCCAAGGGAAATAAGTTGAGCCCATAGTCGGTGTCGTTTTCGACCCGGTTGTCTAAGTAGAAAGATGGGATTGTCGGCCCAATAGTGAGAAATTGAGTCGTTTTGGACATTGCTTCCAATACCTGCGGGCACAATCCAAAGGAGTGACTATATTTGAGAAAAGGATACAAATATTATGTCTAACTTTTTAAAATAAAAAGTGAGTATTTCAAAATAAAATATAAAAAATAAAAATAAAAAGTGATCAGGTACCATTATTCAGAGTTATGACTAATTTTTTTATGCAATTGATCCAAATTTATTCTCATTATTGTTAAAAAAGTGAGCCGTTGACAGACATTTTTTGATAGTTTAGTTTTTATCTTTTCAATTTTTCTGATAAATCGCCAAAAAGAGTCATTAGATATTTTTCAACGATTATGGATTTGTTTCTCGTTTATTGTTCTGGTTTGTAAGACATTGGTTTTGGATGTGGGGATGAGAGGAATTTGGTAACCGAGTTAGGCTTTTTGTTTCCCGATTATGGATCAGCGAATTATATTGCTACGGCGATTAATTCCGATTCTGGTTCGAGGGATGACGGTTATCAGTTTTCTTTTTGTCAGTTGACCCATACTCTGAACTTTTATTGGTTATTTATTTAAGCCAATTTTAGTAAAAAAAAAAAACGATTAGACTAGCATGTTCACGTCGACATTGACATCTCCTAGTGACACATAAACATACGGTGGTTCTCACGTTTTTCAAAAGGTGACAACTCCGGTACCCTTTTAAAAATTGGGGTACCGTACCTACAATTCATTTGATTGGATCACATCATTTTATCATTTTTAATTTAGATTTAAATAATTCAACTGCAATATTATCATTGGTCCATGTGGACAAAGGTATGGTACCTTATATGTACCATAGAATCTACCTTTTCAAAATTTATTACACATAAACATACGATGGTTCTCACATTTTAACATATGTAGGCGTAGTGCATGGCATTTTGAAAATGGGCTTCAATTTAGTCATATATGTAAAGAAAATCTCTACTAATCCGTATATTTCTTCCACTTTCTAAATATATAACCTTAATTGTTAATAATAATTTTATAAAATACAAGAAATGAATAACTCTATTCTAAATTAACCTTGTAGTTATTTCTTCGCACATCAATAATTATGAACAGAGGAAGATGTATACATTTCATTAGGAATTTAGGACAACAATTTAATAGACAAAATTACAGAATAAAAAAAATGAATTGTTTTTTTCTTATAGTATTACGATATTGAAGAGAAAAATAATCAAGATTTCTATTCTAAATTGTATTTCTCTAAAAATATATCTGGTCAGTGTAATTAATGTGCCATCAACCATTGTATGTCACATTAATGCTTTTCTGTCCACATACTACTTGTGTCACTGTTAGAAGTGTTATTAGTTATATTCACACGGTTAATAAAAACGAATTAATATGGACCGTCCCTCATGAAACCAATCAAACCATCGTGTTGGAATTATATACGTACAAATCCAAAGTATGGGATAGACTTCTCTCACATGTTTTCTTTTTCATTTTTCGATCTTCACAGTTCACATAAACTATATACTCCCTCTGTCCTGCATTTCTTCCAAATACGGTTTACGAAGTTTGATCAACAATAAAGTTAAATGATTCATGTGAAAATTCAGAATATTTTTAGTAAATAAATTTACATATTCAGAAACTACATTAAAATCGCTACAAAACCTGCAAAAAATAATTCAATTTTTTGATATATAAAGTAAAAGATTAAGAATGATTTAAGTTGACACCCGAAAAGCGAAATGGAAGATCTTTCAGGGACACGTGGAGTATATAATTACATTTTACTATTATTTGTGTAATTTCTCTTGTATTAAAGCTAAAATGTGATAAAGGTAGTATTCTTATTGAAGTTTTTCTCATGCAATTGAACTAGTGAAGTATGATCCCGTAACTCCTAATTTTAACATAGAATCAAAGTGAATCCAATTCATAATCATTATGTACGTGGAACCCCGATGAAAAATGATGACACAATTATAAAAAATAAAAAATGATAATGATCAACTAATCAACAAATAATTGACGTCATGAAACGAATTAATAAGGACCGTCCCTCATGAAACCAATCAAACCATCGTGTTGGAATTATATACGTACAAATCCAAAGTATGGGATAGTCCGGATAGACTTCTCTCACATGTTTTCTTTTTACGGTTTACGAAATTTAATCAACAATAAAGTTAAATGATTTATGTGAAAATTCAGAATATTTTTAGTAAATAAATTTACATATTCAAAAACTACATTAAAATCGCTACAAAATCTACAAAAAATAATTCAATTTTTATATATATAAAGTAAAAGATTAAGAATGATTTAAGTTGACACTCGAAAAGCGAAATGGAAGATCTTTCAGGGACATATGGAGTATATAATTACATTTTACTATTATTTGTGTAATTTCTCTTGTATTAAAGTTAAAATGTGATAAAGGTAGTATTCTTATTGAAGATTTTCTCATACCATTGAACTGGTGAAGTATGATCCCCTAACTCCTAATTTTAACATAGTACTCCCTCCGTCCCTCTATTAAGTTTCTACTTTGACCTACACACATATTTAGGAAATAAATTTGACTTTACTGTTTAGACACTGTTTGACACTGTTTAGACACTGTTTGGCATTGTTTAGACACTGTTTTCACTGTTTGACCCTGTTTTGATGTAAGATAACTTTCCATTTAGGGAAATGAGAAGATTATTTTGGGACGGTCCAAAAAGGAAAGTAGGAAGTTAATAGCGGGACGGAGGGAGTAGAATTTTAACATAGTATCAGAGTGAATCCAATTCATAATCATTGTGTGGGACCCCGATGAATAATGATGACACAATTATAAAAAATGATAATGATGAAGTAATGAACAAATAATTGACGTCGTGACTTTGATGAAGTGATTGGTTGTGACCAAGGATATTCAAGCATTCTCCACACCGTTAAATATGAATTAATAGTAACGCGATATATTAAGATCTTGAACTACTTCTAAAGTTGTAAGTATATATATATATATATATATATATATAGAGAAAACTTCATGTCAGGCCGGCCTGACGGGCTGCCCCGTCCGGCCGAGCCCGTTTGGGCACCTTCCCGGTGGAATTTTTTGATGAAATTTTTTGAACATGTTCCTCATCAAGTCTAGTTTGTCCATACCAAATTTCAGCTCAAAATTCAATCGGGAAGGTCGTCAAATGATTTTTGCAAGTTAACTGGTCCGGAAAATACATATTCCGGACCAGTTAACTTGCAAAAATCATTTGACGACCTTCCCGATCGAATTTTGTGCTGAAATTTGGTATGGACAAACTAGACTTGATGAGGAACATGCTCAAAAAATTTCATCAAAAAATTCCACCGGGAAGGTGCCCAAACGGGCTCGGCCGGACGGGGCAGCCCGTCAGGCCGGCCTGATGAGAAGAGCCCTCTATATATATATATATATATATATATATATATATATATATATATAGAGGAATGTTCATGTCAGGCCGGCCTGACGGGCTGCCCCGTCCGGCCGAGCCCGTTTGGGCACCTTCCCGGTGGAATTTTTTGATGAAATTTTTTGAGCATGTTCCTCATCAAGTCTAGTTTGTCCATACCAAATTTCAGCTCAAAATTCGATCGGGAAGGTCGTCAAATGATTTTTGCAAGTTAACTGGTCCGGAATATGTATTTTCCGTACCAGTTAACGTGCAAAAATCATTTGACAACCTTCCCGATCGAATTTTGAGCTGAAATTTGGTATGGACAAACTAGACTTGATGAGGAACATGCTCAAAAAATTTCATCAAAAAATTCCACCGGGAAGGTGCCCAAACGGGCTCGGCCGGACGGGGCAGCCCGTCAGGCCGGCCTGATGAGAACAGCCCTCTATATATATATATATATATATATATATATATTTCATCCTTAATAAATCATTTTAATTTCTCTCCTTTTTAAAAAAATCTAACTGCATCCATCATTGGTATGAAGTGTTAATAATTGAATTTTACTGAAAATGACTCGGTGTCTCCTGTCTCAGTATGCAGTCATGGAGATTGCGTCTTAGCTAATAGCTATAGATAAATACCAAAAGAGGAAAAGTAAACCATTCTCTCTCTGTCTTCCAGCAAATTTAGAATCGGTTTGCAACTGCTTTTAAAAAAGCACTTCTCAGCTTTTGACTTTAAAAAAGCACTTATTTTCCCAAACACTAAAACTTTTATTTTTTTCGGCTTCCGCGTCAAAATTGCTTTTACTTTTTCTATTACACAAAAAGCACTTATTTTATCAAACACTACCTACTTTTACTTTTTAAAATCACTTTTTTCTCAAACACTGTCAACTTTTATTTAATCACTTCTCCCCATTTCATTAAAAAAACACTTTTTTAAAAGTAGAAGCTATTGAAAACAGACCCTCGATGAGTTAAAGTTAGCAGTTGCTCTGTGAAAACACATTTTAACGAGTCTAATTCTATCTTACTCAAGTTATCCTACGTGTCCATATAAATCAATTAAATATGTATGTGCATAGATAAATGATGAAATTATGATTTAATCAATATACTCTTTATTATATGTATGATATCTCATTTTTATGGGTACCGTAGCATATACCAAGATATTACATTTGTCTCACTAATATTGGGACACGAGAGGCGGAGAGAGTGACACACTTATTAAAAAATACTCCATATGTCCCATTTATATTGTCATGTTTTACCTTTTCGGGAAGTCCCACTTAAATTGTTCCATACCAGATTTGGCAAAGTTTGTGTGGCTCTAAATCATTCTTTCGATCTTTATTCTTACTTTATCAATTAATATCAACCACACAAACCCACTTTTCTTAATAACCGTGTCACCCTCTTCCGGGACAATGTAAATGGGACGAAGGTAGTAGTGAGTTTATGCGATTGATATTGGTTTGATAAATTAAGAATAAAATAAGAATGATTTAGAACCACACAAATTTTATCAAATTTAATACTACATCCGTTCCAATGGATTTTAAACTGAATTAGGTACGAAATAAGAATGGTAAAAATAGTGTGATTGACGTTTGTCAAAATTTTTGGACAACCAAAATAGTAAAGTTACAAAGGACAACCAAAGTAGGAAAGTTCATAGGGAACTTTCGAAAAGAAAATTTAAAAATGAATTTTAAGAAACTTTAAAAGTGCCTTTTAAATTTTATCCAATTTTATTGGAAAGGTAACTTTTGTATCAAAGCAGGCAATAATGATTAATGATGATCAAATCTGAACTAAATTTTACCTCTGCCTCCAAGCTGAGGAACGAGTTAATAAGAACAAAATCCGCCTTTTCCAGATTCAGAAACTGCTGCATCAGAAGCTTAAAATAAGCGGGACGAGATCCGTACTGGTAAATGAATGATGGCATGTCCGGCAGCTCCAGCGGCAGCAGACCCGGAAGTCTCACCGGCGTCGAAGTCACCGGCACCGGCAACATCCCATGGTTCACGGCATAGTACACATAAGTCACTGAACATGCCTGGGTAAAAAAGCTAGCCGAATACAATCCCTCATATTTCTTAGCCACTTCCGCCGCCCAGGGCAGAAACGAGTCATAAACGACACAGTCGATCGGAGAACCGGAGTTTTGGTACTTCTGGATCAGTTCGTCCAGGGTCTTCGAACCGGTCACCACGAGCCGGTTCAGGTAGTCGTCGGCGTCGGCGGCCTGCGCGAATCCGGATTCGTCGCAGCCGTCGGAGAACGTGTCGATCCCGACGGTGTCGGAAACCGGTTTGAGGGAGTTGGACAGAAACGTGGTGATGGCTATGGTGGCTTTTTGACCTTTGGAGACGAGACGCTTGCAGAACTGGAGCATGGGATTAATGTGGCCTTGGCTTGGATATGGAACTGCAAGTATGTGAGCTCCATAGCTTCCTCTCTTTTCGTCACTCCCCATTCTCTAATCTCTACCTACCTGTGGACAGGTTTTTCTGATTCTGTTGTCCTCGTGTTTCTGTGAATGAAATCGATGGGTTCGCATATGCTCTGTTATATACAGATCATTGTGTAGAGATAGAGATAGAATAAATACATAGTATTTGGATGAAGTGTTGTGTAGGGAAAAATGAAAAAGATGATAGAGATAGAGGTAAAAATGGACCAAGGTCTATGACAAGGTCCATATATGAACCTTACATGGGATTCGAGGAGGAAAAGTTGATAAAAAGTTGGTTAAAAGTGATATGAAAAAATGAAAATTAAAATAAATTAGGAAATAGGTGGGTCCTACGCATAAAAATTGTGAGATAAAAAATAGGACCCATGCGTAAGGGTGTGTAAGAGACCACACCCTTGCATTGGAGTTGCTCTTGTGGGAGTTCTTTTCTTTTTCTATAATAATGGCAAAGAAAAAAGGGAAAACTCAAAACGGGCTCTTGTAGTTTACAATAAAAAGATAATGTAGATTATATGGTACTCATAAGGTACCACACATTTGTTCATATGAATCAATCAGAATGTTGCTGTTGAATTATTTAAGTCTAAATTAAAAATGATATACCTATTTTATAAATGGGTACCGGAGTTCTCACCAAAAATCTATTAAGGGTTGGAACAAAAAATAATCCATTGAGACCTTAAACTTTACAAGAAAAAGTCAAATTCATAATCTAAGCTAGTACTCCCTCTGTCCCATTTAAAGATTCTCACTTTCCTTTTTGGGATGTCCCACTTAAATGTTCTCATTTTCTATTTTAGGAAACAATTAACACTCTTAAATGACAATTTAATCATCAAATACTAAAAGAAATACATTTATAAGATCACAGTTATAATCAATAACTCATTATATTATATACTGATCAAAATTATTTCTCAAAATATACTCGAATTAGCGTCCAATTTTAATGAGTATTAAGCGTCCAATAATGAGCATCGTGTTATTACAAGAAAGCTCATATCACAACTAAAAAATGGTGGCATTTTCGTAATTTCAGTGAAAATCCCGGTTTTCGTTAGATGAGCATTAATACACTTATAATGAACATCAGACGTATTCTATTGAATATTAAGTGTAAAATAATGAGTATTGTGATATCAACTTCATATATTGTAATTCACTTTCTTTTTCTTATTTTTTCTTTTATAAAATCTCATTGAATTATATCTATAATCAATTCATATGAATTTCAATATGCGAATCTAATGTAATATGGCACTTTTGAAATAATGCATTGTTATAACATTTTAAAAATGAGCATAACATCGGTACCAATTGAGCATATGTAACATATAAAATGAGCATTGATATGAAAATCGTAAGTTTTTTTGTTCATACTTTAATTGAGTATTAAATCTTCTCTATTGAGTATTAGAATTATGCGGTTGAGCATCATGATTTGTGCTCTCGTCTCTATAATCAAGTCTCATGTAAAAACATAATGAGCAGAAGACCAGTATCAAATGAGCATACACAACTTACAAAATGAGTTTCGAAAAAATCAAAAGCTCATTTGTGTCTGCACATTCATTTTAGGAGTTATACTCATTTGAATTTAACATAAAACTCATTGTGATGAAGAGGTTGCGAGAGCCACGGAAGCAGACGTGATCACACTTACTCCGCAGACACATAAATGTATTAATTAATATCTAAAATATTTTATAATACATAAATTAAAAAAATAAGTCAGAGGGTTAATTGAAAAAGAAACTCCAACATTAAATAATATTTTATATTTTAGATTTTCATTTTAATTGAATATAAGCAAAAGGATTGTTAAACTAAAAAAGAAAAAACTATTTTCAACTATCAAAACTTGGAAACCGGAGTCGAGAGCTTCTCTCTCTAAAATCTTCGGCGCTCTCTAGGGTTACGGCCGTTGGGGTTTTGAATTCTGATTTCGTTTTTACGAAGATCGGTGCTTATCGGAGTGGTGAAGGCGAATGAAGGCAGAGGACTGGGTTCTCGTTTCAGCAGTCTCAATCGCGGCTTGAACTCAGATGAACAGAAGGAGCAGGGCTTGGTCTCGGCTGGGACTCGGGCGAACCGAGGGAGCAGGATTGTCACGCCCCAGACCGCAATCCAAGCGCGTGTACAACCGCCGTATAACTAAGTGACGCCACCCACGAATCAACCTCACTTAATTACACAAGGCGTTCGAGAAAACAATCCATCCATACTCAGTAGTAAACATACATAACAACATCACATTTAGACCAATGAATAGCGGAAATATTCAACGGTAAGTCATGAGCCACAATCGGCCAACAACATGGGCATGCAAGCCCCAAAAATAGTTTATAGTAAAATAAACATCCATGAGCAAGTGTGCGGTAGTTTGAGAGAAAATAAGGAAGCACGAACCACGTCTCCCTGATTTGATACCACCCTTGAGAAGGTGCAGGTAGCAAGCCCTAGCTTCAACCTGAAAATGGTGGGGCCCCCCGAAGGGGTCAGTACAAGTACCGAGCGAGTAGCAGGCTAAATATAGAATAACTAGCGTTTCAAGTATAAGACCCAATCATAGGGTGATACATATACGTATAGTCCTTTCCCCAAGTTCGAAATACATATTAGTATACATACACTTCGAAATACCCGACCCGTAGGTCTTTGTTTATTTGGGAAAATAATAGTAGCCAATATCCTTGACTTAAATCCCAACCCACCCATATGCCTATGAGTGTATAGAACTCCTCCTTGTTCAAGTAAATTATCATAAGGACACCGCCCGGTCCTAGATCATTAAATGTAATCTATGAGTTTTGAGGATACACACCCGATCCTTGGGTACTCCACCCTATAACCGAGTTTTGAGGATAACCGCCCGATCCTTGGGTGCTCCACCCTATATAACCGAGTTTTGAGGATAACCGCCCGATCCTTGGGTGCTCCACCCTATATAACCGAGTTTTGAGGATAACCGCCCGATCCTTGGGTACTCCACCCTATATAACCGAGTTTTGAGGATAACCGCCCGATCCTTGGGTACTCCACCCGACCTACGACTTACCACATATCACACTAGATAGGGTCTATATCATATTTAATCATTCATAACTAATTCAATACATAAAACTTATGTATCACATTCCATGCAAAGCCATGCAATTATGTAAATGTATAATTAATTAATACCAATCGATATTAATTAATCCATTATCCATCGGTCAACGTTGTTGTTGACCGCCATCTCAAATCTTACACTTATTAACTAAATCATCATATAATTAAGTTAATAATACTCATTTGTGCTTCTTTTACACTTCAAGCTAATATGCATTTTATATAATTCCTCATATCATATTTCATGTATAAACAATTAATTCATTTCATGCAACTTAATAGTGTTGGCTAATCACATGTTTAAATATCTTTTAAACATCATTATGAACACATATAACATTTATTTAGGTAATCTCATAATTAACCCAAAAGTTATAAGATATTAAGCCGTCCACTCACCTTGAACTAGCGTTAAGAAGTTCTACCCTTCTTGGTTGAACTCCGGTGAAACTCCGGCGACTTTTGGTCAACTCCGGCGACAATTCCGGCGACTTTTCCAACTTTGTGAAATCACTTGAAATACCCTTTACAAGTGCCTAACAAGGTTTTAACATCATAAAACCTTAATCAATACAAATAACCTATAAAAGGTTATTTTCCGGTGAACCGGTCGTTTTGGCTTCTAAGTCCGTTCTTGGACATAGAATCACTTTCCAACCCATTAATCCATACTTATAACATATGGAACCATACTAAAGGTTCTTCACATGATATATACTTCATAAGTTCATATGGTAGAGGAAAAATAAAGGAAAAGTTAATATAAGGTCATTACCTTAATTATCCAAGCTTTTTCTTACTTTTTCCTTCTTAAATCCTCTCTTTTGGACCACCTTCTCCTTGAGCTCGTGCTGCAACAATGGAGGCTGGTTTGAGAGCTCTCTCTTGCTTCTCCTTGATGCCTTGGCCGAGTACAATGATGAGGGAAGAGGGGGATGGGTTCTTTTTGTCCCATTTAGCTAATAAGGGTGGGAGGGACCCCTTTGATGTCTCCCATTGTTTCACCCTCCCATCAAGTGTACTACCATCTTTCATTTAGTCAATTTGAGCACACAAAAACGTGGGGTGGCCCCCACCCATGTGGGAGGTCATCCCTTTGTGTCTCGGTGTGTACAATCGGTCCCGAAAGTTGTATTTTTCGGACTGTTTTAATCATATTTTATTTTATCGGGTAAAATAAAATATATTATGTGTTCCCAATCATAACGCCCCTTTGAAATAATATATATTCCAAAACTTTAATTTGGAAGTCTCCGAAATTCATTTTCGGGCTGTTATCTGTTTATTTGTCGGTACCGGTAATTGGGCTTCTTTTGACCAATCGGTCAACCCCAGGCCTTCCCATGGCCCAAACAAGATGTCCACCACCATATAAATATTATTTCGACCCATAAGAATAATTTATGTGATCTCGGGAATATCGGGCGGCCCCCGCTCCTGGTGTGGGTCCCACGTGCAATTTACTATTCACGCGAAAGAAATAATAAAAATTTACAACTTCGTAAATTCATTAATCCCTTGGTAAGGTTCAATACATTATTTACATCAAAGTAAATATACTTGGGGATGGTGTTACAAGGATTGATGGCCAAAGGTTGTGTATCCCTAGTAGCAGGTAGAGAGGTTCGAGAATGTCGTTCATGGTGGAGATCAAAAGGTCATGGACGAAGCGTGGGGCTAGGGGTTGGATCAGATCTGGATCGGAGGCAAGGAGCGGAAGATGTTTCAGTACTGTTGGACCGTCCCCCTCCTAAACTACCGCCATGGAGTGCAGGAGAGTCTAGGGTTCTGAAGCAGTATTTTAATATTATTATTTGCTTGCTATTTTATTTCCATGGTCAGACTTTTTTGTTTTACTTTTATTGTTTCTTTTGTTGTAAGACTCTTGCATTAGGTTTGGGGGATGGAAGTTCTGCGGTAACCGTCATTGGCCTTAAGTTGCCCAA